TTGCTCAGTTTTTTCTCTACTGAATACAGAACACACATGAGTGCCTGGGTAGTTTAGCTTAAATTACGTGTGGGTTGCCTGTGTACACCTCCTGGACATAAAAGATCGAACAAGATAACAAAACAATGAAAACTTATTGTCAATTTTCCAAGAAAGGAAGCGCTTGAAGTCTAGCCCCACATCAGTTTGACTCCATTCTGTTGAGCAGTTTATGACTTTTATCCCTATTCCAAATTAAAGATTTATTTTCAAAAGAAGTTATTCTGCTTTCCTCAATGAGCCAATTGATATTTAACAACCTGAAGAAACTAAAATAACATGTTATTTTTACTAATGAAAATAGGTTTTTCTATATAGTGGAAGTAAGAAAAAAAGGTATTTTACAACATAATTTGCTTTCATATACAATTTACTATGATAAATAGAATATTACATGTTCGCTTGGAGATACGAATTTTATCTTCTCGTGTTGAAAATCGCCACGCTCACTCCCTACGCTCATTCGTGAGAGCAGAGTCAGTAGAGGGTCCCTTCTACTAACTGTGGTGAGAGATCTTTTCAACACTCGAAGATAAAATCCGTATCTCCGCGCGCCCATGTAATATCCTCTATATCTGTAATAAAAGACTTAAAACAGTAGCCGCACAGCTAAGGGAGGGAGCGGATTAGATAAAAACTCTCATACCTTGTCAGGTGAGTTCTGAGGAGGCGCAACTTGATGTTCACTTTTTTTTGTCAATTTACCAGAAACTTAGGATACCATTATTTGAACTAAAGCCAAGTGTTCCGTCTGAGTTGACTTACTTGTTGATTAATAATTAAAAAAAATGAAGCCTGGACTTAACGTTTTCTTAAACTGGTAATACGCACAAATGCCATGCCATCGATTTTGCAACTTGGTAACGACATAATTATTTGAACCTTTATAGGAAAACTGAATATAAATAGTAAGACGAGTAACACATTGCGAATTCATATGTTCTGTTATATCACTCTTTTTAATGCTCCATTTTACACTTCCCATGCAGTGCCAAGTATGTTTTGCCAACAATCTTGTGACTAGAAAGATCTTTCTCATACTCATTACACCCGATTTCAAATGAGTGCGAACTCTCGAATTTTTTTTTGAACGCTAAACTTTCACTCGACCGTCATTCACTCGACCGCTTGGTAACTCTCGAATTTTTTTTTGAACGCTAAACTTTCACTCGACCGTCATTCACTCGACCGCTTGGTAACCAGGTACACGTGTTTAGTAAGTGATGCGTGACTTTCTGTAGCGGGACTTTCGCATTTAGGATTATGGAGGAAGAAGCGGTGGTCTTTGTTCGAGATACCTGTGGTCCTTGTGTTTCACAGAACATTCTACTTCACTCAATGCAATTGAGAACAATTAGAAGAATATCAACTAAACTTGATTAAAAAAATATAATTTTCTATCTGGTTTGTAGTTTAAATTTGGCTTTATTAACTTGTAAACATGAAATGCATGCAAATAATACTTTGCACAATTAGGTATAGCTTTGCAAGAACCATGAACTTGTGGGTGTTGTTTTCTGCATCTTGAAAAGATATTCTTATGTTGAACTAAAATACACATTTTTTCTTTTTTTCTTTCGTTACAGTATGTAAACAATTTAAGTTTACAATAAAAAAATTATCAAGCAAGCGAAAAAATAATTGCAACACTGTTGTTTAAATTAAAGGTTGAAAACGAAGTAACTTATGTTTAAATGTAACCTTCTTTCGAAGAAGTAAATATATTTTTATTCGTATTACTGTAAAAACCCTGATTGATTGAATACAAGTTTACAATGACACTTACATGTGAGAAGTCGAGGCCTTCCACGCCGTGTATGTACAGCAACATAGTTGTCGAATTTTACAAACAAACGTTTTCCCTACAAATAACGCTCTACAAGTTTCCTTAATGCTTGAACCGTAAATAAGTTCATGGTAAATAACCCTCCACCGAATATCGTCCAATAACCTCTTCATTTTAATCAGTAAACTAGTAAAATCAACAAAGAACAGCCAACGAACACTAAAAGCGATTTAAAGTGCGCGCGCTTGTCAGTGTTTGTCACGCTATTTAATTTTCAACTGTTTCGCTGTAATTGTGAGCTGAGAAAGTTAAAGTTAAACCGAAACTAGTTTTTATAAAAAGTTCGTTTTGTAGTGCGTTCACAAACCGTAGGAATTTAGCCCACAGACATACATTAACCATGGTTTTTATACTTGGATAATTTTACCCGCTTCAAGCTGTGCCAGGTTACCAAGTGGTCGAGTGAATGACGGTCGAGTGAAAGTTTAGCGTCCGAAAAAAAATTCGAGAGTTCGCACTCATTTGAAATCGGGTGTAATTATAAATGAAGTATTCAGCCAGTCCATGATTGTAATTTGTACATATACCACGTGCAGTAACTGGATACCAGAGGAAGTACTCCTACCTTGTATTCTATCTGCGCCTTCACTACTTGGTCACTGCGATAATCATCATGAAAAGCTTTCGAGGTGGTCGGCGCAAAAACTCGAAACAGAAAACCAATAAGCGATCGAATCTATGATACGGCTCTTTCTTCTTATTTTACCATATGGAGATTTGCAAATTTTCTCACTAGGAGCTTCATTCCAACCATGTGATTGTGTCGGCGTTGGAACATACTTGATCGAGTGGGAGGTCACATCTTTTCATTATATTTTTCAAAGTTCTTTTGTATTAGTTCAGTAAACCCTTATTAGATTAGCGGATTGTTTGACAAAKAAAACTCTGAAACATGGTGAGAAACGAGTTGCCGATTCAGTACAAAGCTCCTTTGTTGAAAATTAGATTTTTTTATTATTTACTTCATGGGAATGACTGATAGTGAGTTAGATTTTCAACAGTTTTTGTGTTTGTCTCGTAAGTTACACCTGTATCAGTGTAATAAAACATTGTATAATCTACCATGATGTTTTGGCTTATATAAAAAAATGTACAATGTTTGAACTATTTTTAAGATTATCTATAGCTTCCTCTAATTGTGGGAAAGTCAATTCTCTTCGGTGATTGATAAGGTCCACAAAACAATTTAAACTTTACTTTTGAATTATTYAAATCTCATTCATCAACATTTGAAGCTCATTCTCGCCGTAAATTAAAGCTAGTGGCAGACATTTTGAATAATTCGTCTTTAAATGACTTGTTCTACGTCAGCTAGCTTGTAAAGCTACACAAGTCAGTAATTTAATTGTACAGATTTTCAAAAAGGAAAGTCGAACACCGCACAACAGTGTTACCCATCCACAAGTTTTGCTTTCATCTTTTTATATGATGTTTCTGTACAACAATATCAATTATTGACGAATTTTTTAGCGTTAAAAAACAACTCAACGGGGTCAGTCACTCACTTTTGAATCTCTTTTGATCCTACTCACCGAAAACTAATAACAGAAAAATAAGAATGATCCCTGTCAGAACAACAACAAAGTCATGATGTAAGAGCACTATGTATGAAGGCATCATTTTTCTTCGCTTAATTATATATTGAACCTATTTTTCCTTTTTTTTTTTACTGATATACCATATATTTCTTCAACCAAATCGGTTTTAGAATATCTTAAGTTGTAACATGGGCAACATTCATAGTACAAATTGGATGTTGTTTTTGATTTCTCCCACTCAAACTGCCAAAGTACACAAGCTATCTATCTACAATTCTCTATACGTGGCAAACAACGGCATTAAAGGTTTTGAATTAATAGTCGAAAACAAATTGGATTATAACTCGAAAATTTATGTTACGTAAATGTAACACAGAATGTTTTAATGTAATGTGATTTCCCTGGAGCAAGATAAGATTTGAAAGTATAAAGTATTGAAAGCATACTTATATATACCTGCCTTCAGCCATTTGTTACCTATGTTCCTTCCAACTGAATTGTTTTGGACTGTTACGTTCCATCCATTTTGTGTTTGTCAATCACTKATGATCATTCAGCTTTTATTTTCTTACTATCTTTGTTTTTTCTTTAATTTTCTTACACTTTCTTTTTCCTTCCTTCTTTATTCCCTTCCTTCCTTGCTTYYTTCCTTCTTCTTATATTCTTTCCATCACAAACATACTTTATTACAAATACTGCTAGTATATAAACACATTATTTACCATACATACGTACAGAAAGTGTGTTACTTTGATTCTTATTGCTATACTCAGATACTAAGGTTTTATCAAAGTAGAAATTAAAGGTTTCCATTTGTTTCAAATGTTCCGTTGTACTTTGCGCAAAGGCCTGGCGATACCGTTTCCGCTTACTGCTTTAGTAAAAAARTCTGATGAAAAGCCTGCTTTATAGGACAAAATATTCAGTAAATTCACTTTCCATGCATAGGAATGACACTATATAAAGTACATTACTGAAGTATGAAAGGTTCCAAGTAATACTTTGTTGAATAATTTTGCAGCTTTCAATATTTTATCAAATTACTGCGGCTGACTCTCGCTATTCATTTCCCCACAAAACCACGGCACAAAACAATATAACAGGTTAGATTACTAGCGTACTATCTAACACTTTTAAACTCTCATCAGATCTAACAAAACACACTACTTGTTGAAAAGTGCAATTGAAAATAAATAACTGCGAAAAAATGTACCTTTTTTATGCAACGGGAAACCATATTTGACAATTACGTTTCAATATTTCTCTTTTAGACAACATCTTGCTTTTTTGCGGATTCAAGCCTTAGCTTTTTTCGTTTACATGTTCAGGAATTGTTTCTCTAGGTGCGCCTTCAGCGAACAGAATTTAATGATCTATGATTGTGAAGCYAAGCTTTATTGGTTAATATTAAARGCGCCGTGCTAATATATGCATTACATTTTGACTGTACGCTCGACCATTGGAGCTTATAAGTTAATCGAAATGCAATTAAGAAATCTCTGAGGCCTGTAATGGGTTTGACGTTATAGAGAAGYATATTATCACCCCATTGAATACATCATTAACTATCAAAGTCTATCAGGAAATCAGTAAAGATCTTATATATATATCTAACATATACTGAAGGYATTGTAAAGACACTTGGACGGACCTTAAAATAAATTCCAATGCTTCGATGCAGCAACACGAACAAAAAATCAATATTTCGGCTTTTCTTTCAAGTAAAAATATATTCAATGTATGATTGAACAAAACATTGGTTTATTCTGACATAACAGTGAATTTAGGAAATCCGAATGTATTCTTTTTTCCTTAACCGAGAAGAAAAATTTCTAACACACACGCGATGTGTATGACATAAATTCAGACATATTTTTCTACTGAAAATATTCTTGCTTTTCCTGCAATTGCGTTGAGACATAGYGAGCTTTTTTCRGGATTGTTGAAAGTTAAAAACGCCCACGAAAGCCGGAGTATGTCCAAAGCTTAAGAAAACSTGAATATTTTCGACGAATTCATAGGTATATTAGAAGATTTTCTTGTACACGCAACGCATGCAAAGCATTAGAAATTGATGAGGCATGGAGCAGCGATTTCAATATCAATGTAAACTWCTTCATTCTGGCCCTAAAGGGCATTTTCTCTTTACAATAAATGCATACAGTCAGCTCTTCAAAAAGATAGTTAATTCCTAATACATATTTTTTTATAGAAATGTTATGTTTTGTTATAATTCTTTCTAGCCCTAGAGCGCATTTTCCATTTTACAATCAACTCAGTTATAAAAGAGTTCGGTCCTTTAAAAGATAGTTAATTTCTACTTTTCATAATCCTTTCTTGTAAAGAAAAATTCTGCCGATTGAAAACAATGACGGACTTTTTGAAAGAAMACACAAAGTTTTGTTATCAATGATGTTAATGTTTTTTGAAATGYCCATTGCTTGTTTTCTGTATTTTCGTACTAAAAGTTTTATGGAGGTCGACAGAAAATAAAAGGTTTAAAATGGTTTCCCATGAATTTCGAGTTTTAAACAAGTRAATTACATCTGGTTCCTTTATCAATATTTAAACCAATATTTGTTTTCGTCTTCAAAAACCAAAAAGAAAACGAATTCTTAGAGYTCYCGGCAATGACAACTTCATTTGCTTTGAAAACTGGTATGGGTATGGGAATTTTTTTATTTAAGCAACCCGTGGAAGACTGTATTTTATCGTGCTATTTCTCATTAGAGAATTACAGCATTTCAAATCTTTACTTTCTTATTTGGTCATTATGAGAACTTCCTCCCCCTCTCTTGAAAAAATAATAATCCCAAGAAATCCTCAACTTGATAGAGGGGAGGAATAGTGTACTTGATATGATAGAATACTTTGTATATAGATATAAAGAAATATAGTATCCAAACTTTACAACACTTGAACTTCATTAAAAACATCGGATAAGGAACTAACCTGCAAAAAGTTCATTGTTGAACGACTTGACATTTTCAAATATGGAAGCCCACTTTCACCAGAGAAATATAGTAGTCCAAATGTCTTCAGAAGCTCTTTGAAATCTCCCCTACTGGTTGATAGATKATGGTGTCGGCTTTATTTGCTAGCGAGTTAATATGACGAAAAACAGTTTAGAACCACGCTCGAGAACACCTTCATYAAATATTAACAAGTTGTCAAAAAAGTTAATCTCAAAATTGGAATCCTTTCGGCGGGCCGGTATTGGGGCGTGAGTGATTAAATCAAAGCAGTATTGTTTTGCCATAGCCCCAGCGAGGRAAATTTGTGGGCAGAGATCACGTAAAATCGCTATATAATTCCTTGGTACATGACAAAATCTGTATACAAGTACGTAACGGGAAATTCACGAAGCGTAGACTTGTGCTAATGTCATGTAGCCATGGGGCCCCGATATACAATATAGAGAACAGTCAAATAACTCAAGACAAAAAATAGCTGTTCAAAAAACAGCTGCTGAATTAGAAATATTCACAGATTAAGAATAAAAAACAATCGCATGTATTGTTGTGAAGTTCCATTACCGAGAAAATGTACATTATTTTAACCAATGGYGAAAAGCGACAATATTAGTAGCATTTTACGATCTTTTTTTTTTTTTTACCGAGTTGATTAAAAACTTGACGAAATGTTTTCTATTTCGACGTTTATTCTAATTTGATAGTATTTTCAAACCAGTACTGACAATTTACGCATGTCATAAAGCATACAGTAGAATATTGTATSGAGGACTWCAACACGTTCAACACTYAATCATGGCGTGTTCCACTGAATCATTACAGTTAATTGAGACACAGTTTTCGTTTCAATTTTTTYACTAAAATATGGGAAATGATAAGTTGAATTTACGGCATAATTTTAGTTTTGCAATTTGTGAGACTTGAACAAAATGAATAAACATAAAACCCTTGACAGTGAAATCATATATTAAAGTCCATTCAAAATAGGTTGTTAGAAATGATATATGACAAAAGCATGTAACTTGACTGAAACGACCCTGCAATCTCAGTATCGTTGTCATGGATACCTACTCACCAATAAAAATGCTTTGACGTGAAAACGTTGAGGCTTGCTACTTGTGAAAAGGTATCCTTGGCAAACGAGGGCCTGGAGAGAGTATAGGAGTGTAATTTATGAGAAATATAGCGATTYTACACTTATGTTCTTGGTGGTCAATGAAGCGGCAGAAAGAAGGGAAATTACTTTTTACGTTTTATCTTTTGTTACATTTRACACCATTTTCTGACATTCAGGTCATTGACGAGCTTCAAAAACGACACGTTCTTTTCCGATTTCCTTCTGAAACGAAAACGAGGATTTATATATAGGTTAAAAACCAAGTGCGAGGTCTTCCATTGAAATTCAAGACCGAGGGCGAAGGGAGGGAGTTCGCCCTGCTTACGCGTGCGGTGTGGTCCCGCAGCCATCGGATCAACTCAAATAAAGCATTGCTAGGGACTTGTCCTTAACGTTTAAAAAATGTTATGTCTCTTGATGATTATCCTATTATATATTAMTGATTTTCTGGAGATAAATGTTATAATCATTGAAACTTTTTTGCAATGAATTCGCGTTGTTGTTTGTAGGGTTGAAATCTTACCTTCCTGGCTACTTCCTCGATGACGCGACACATCATAGAGCGGATTTCGTATGTTTTTGCAAAGAACACATCACCTTCGTTCCGTGACCCTACCTTGCCGGTGTTGTACTGTTCAATCTTTATTTTTATTTGGAATAACAGCAAGAAGGCGAGATTCTGTGAGAAATACATGCAGTGATCCGTGCCGCTGCCCTGACTCATACGAAAATCCGCTCTTTTTGTTCACAGGCATTGATGCGCACCTCAGCCATATTTATTTACATATTTACTATTAGTGGTCGGTCTTCCAGTTTTCATTAGAGTGCTCGATACTGTGTAGAGCAGGATACCTATGAGTTTAACGGAATCAAAGACGCATGACGCGGGTAGCGACTATAAGTTTCATGTTGTTACACAATCATCAGGCTACAATGAACATTTGTGACCTGTGCCTCACTGAAAAACTAACTATAATCAAGAACAACATTAACGCTATCCTAAACAAAAGAACTGAATTAATCTCAAAATGCCGACATAGAAATAAATTTCTCTTATGCAATACCCCTTAGGGATTTCCTTGATATAAATACGAGATGTGTAAAAATGTTCATTGTAGCCTGATGATTGTGTAACAACATGAAACTTTTAGTCGCTACCCGCGTTATGCGTCTTTGATTCCGTTAAACTCATACGTATTTACATATTTCTGTATAGTTATAACACTCTTTATTTATTTCATTACCAACTGATATATCCAGTGAATAATATATTTGTGAACAATACATTTGTTATCTAAACAGCAAACAAATATTGATTATGTGGGACAAATCATCAAAAAATGCGGTGCTGGACACATGCAGACCGCAGACCGCAGACTGCAGACTGCAGACTGATAAAAGTAAATATATTTCATATGTAAAAGAAAGAACACTTCGAAAGGAGACTACACATATAAGACATGCATATGACAGATTATTGGTGAATTTTCAAGCGAGTACAAAACATTGCAACGACAACAAGATGTAGCAGGCCCGTAGCTAGGGGTTTTTATTTGCCCTAAGTGGACCAAATCGACAATCATAGTAAAATTTTACCTTTTTTTAACCGAAATGTGGACCTTTAAGAAGTACACGTAATTGACCTTTTGGTCATACAACATAAATCGTATAGGCATAGCCTGYGTGCATCAGTTTCTCGCCACTCACAAAAAATACATTTGCGAATTAAGAGTACAAAGGGGACAATTTAAAACAAACAAGAAATACAATATTGTAATAGAGATTATAATATACAGCCTTTTGCAAAAAATATGAGAATTTTCGAAATATCTAAATATGATRATATCAAGTGCATGATGGGTAATCGCACGCGATTCCCTTTGTCCTCTGTCTTTGTAGTTTATTTTTTTTCGGTGGTGACGGACTTATTCGTAGTTCTGAACATTTTCTCGATGTCAACAATGAATTATTCTAGCAAATCCGCGTGTTCTGGACAATATATGGATATGGATATTATGATATTTATAGATATTTAGACAATTCTCATAATTTTTGCAAAGGGCTGTATAATAAACAGAAATATGTAATATTAACTTCTCTGGGATTCACTGGATTCCAATCATTCCTGGACAAACATTTTAAAAACTTTGTTAATGTGACCGACTTGTCAACCATTTGCTATGACGTCATTCAATTATAGGGAGCCCGAACACAAAAAATCAAAAAATATAGGCTCACCTGTATCCTCGTGCTAATCTTTGGCAAAATAGTCATCTTGAATTTTATAAAATTATATTTTAATTCCGGGAGGCCACTCCTCCTGACGCAGCGGACGACATCTTGGTAATTTGAAACTCTAAACCATTGTAAAACATCCGGCAAAATCAACAAATATAAATCTACGAATACAAATGCAAGATTTCTGTTTTTCATTACCATAAAAGCCAGTTGCCAATTGCCAGTTATTCTTTAATTCTCAATACTCGATTTTCGCTCAAAATAATTATTTGCTGTGATTGTCACDYAGTTTACCGGAAACTCAAAACTTTTGTTGGAAGAACTCTCTAATATTTTTAAAACTTAAGCTCACTGGTTTTCCTTTCTTTATTTTTATTAATTCTAAATTTTATAATATAAGAAATATATTTTGATCAGTCTGCGGTCTGCAGTCTGCAGTCTGCGTGTGTCCAACACAGCAAAAAATGTCATCAATATAATGTAATTATATAAGATCCTATTACTTTACGTATATATACAACAATATTCAGAAATTATGATAGTATTGACGCATATTTTAAGTATATATACAGGATATAACATGGGCGCGCGGAGATACGGATTTTATCTTTGAAAAGATCTCTCACGAGTGATCGTAGCGAACGAGTAAGAGATTTTCAACACGAGAAGATAAAATTCGTATCTTCAAGCGACCATGTAATATTCTGTTCATCATATAATTATATAAAAACAAATTGTGTCGTAAAAGACATTTTTTTCTTGCTTTTATTATATAGAGAAACCTCGAATGTGTTATTTTCACTAGTGAAAATATCAATTTTAAGAAATGGAGAAAATATAGGTATTTCATAGATAATTATATGATAAATATAATATATCAGAAATTATGGGATATCGTCGCCAATATTGTTTTCAGAAGTTACTAGTGCCAGGCAACTTCAGATATGTTTCCATAAGACCATAATTTCTGAATATTGCTGTATTTTAAACAAATATAGGTATACAATAGAAAGAGCGTACTATGCCTGTTAGGTCTCTATACCACAATAGTCCAATCCCAGAATTGTCAAGTCTTGTGAGCTTTCTCACGATAGTCTTAGAACATGAGGTATTACTGGACAACAATAACTACTCCAAATATGCATAGTCCTGACGATTGTTTTTTGCAAAAACATATGATCTTCTGAGAGAATATCCAAAATCCACATATTAAAGCTATGACAAACTGTGGTGACCAAAATGCAAGTCATGTGCATCTAACTTTAATCTTGGTTTACTTACATGTATGTAGAGTTAGATATCGCTTATACTTGAACGTTACTCCACAAGTATTGCACTTGTATGGYGTTAAGAAGTCATGTTGAACGCGCTCATGAAGCTTTAGATTACATTCAAAGTCGAATTTCTTTCCACACTCGAGACACTCGTGTGTTTTCTTCGGTGGTGTCGATTGGTTGGCGCGACTGTCACATTTATATTTATCCYCAWCAGATTTATATTTACACTCGTGTTTTTTCTTCGGTTGTGTCGATTGGTTGGTGCGACTGGCAGGTTTATATTTGCACTTGCATTTGTGAGTCAGGAAGTTTGAATGAAATCTGAAAGTTTTTCCACACTTTTTGCAGTCGTAGGGCCTTTCACCCGAGTGTATTCTTTGATGTATTRAGAGGTACCGYTTGGTTAKAAATCTYTTCTCACAGAGATCGCACTTAAATGGCCGAGTACTGCTGTGAAATCGAGCGTGTGCAATCAAGGTTGATTGCAAAGTGAATGACTTTAGGCAAATTTTACATTGAAAGGGTTGGCTACATGGAGTACACTTTATCTTTTCGTGTTTGTTGAGGTCTTTTTTCAGGTTAAATCGTTTTTTACAAACTTTGCACTGAATGTTTGTGTGCAGTAAGCTGTGTTGGGAGAGTTGGTTTCTGTAGCGAAATGACTTGCCACATGTTTCACAGCAATTGTGGTTAACACCTGTGTGAACTGAGMTGTGGTCTTGTAAGCGTGCCCTTGAGATGAAGGTCTTGTTACACTCTAGGCATTTATGACTGCGCAAGTGACCTCTTGCACGGGAATGCACTTGTAAATGAATAAACAAAGAAGACTTTCGGCCAAAACCTTTTTTACAAATTGGRCACTGAGTTGACGTCTCGCAACAGTGTTCTTTTAGGTGCTCATGATAATTTTGGCTTGTGTTAAGATATGAATCACATAACTGACAAGGTATCAGTCTTTCTTCGACAACKTTTGGTGAAAATGTCGGTCCTTCCTCAAYGATTTGCAGTTCTTTAGTGTTTTCATCAACATTTAAGRGATCCGCGTCTTCTTCAAGAACGATATGAGCCTCTGAAATAGAGTCACGCCTTGCTTTTGCAGAGCATATACCCTCTAATTTGTCTTCATAATCCCTRMCGGTCAACTCTTYATCAWTATTTTCGCGAAYGTCWTTTTCAGCAGACGATTCTATTCCCTTCTCCGAAACGTTGCCTTTGTCTTCATGTACAGCGCACTCATTTACTGATAYACCAACATCATCAATACTTACATTTTGATCTTGCATTTCTATCAAAGAGTCTTTTGTTGAACTTTCTGTGTGTGATATCAATGATCCATCATTGCTGTTCGGATCCATTGTAGTCTCTTCTTTGATGTTGAAGGGTAAATTATGAATGGAGTGAGATTGAACTGTTGTAATATAAACTTCTTCCTCTAAAGGGTCTGTTTTCTTGTCATCATGAGATGAAATAGCGTGTGGAGGTACAGCTTCATGCTTATCAGTATTAAAACCTGCCTCCCCTTGTTTCAATGYGGAGGTGCCATGGTAACCATCCTCGTTGATAGTGTCACCATTGATGATGTTACCTTGGATACTGCCTTCAAGTTTTAATGCCAAACATGTAGCTGCAGGTACATTGKCTCCATTGATAGCAATACTGTTGTCTAGAATGATGCTCTCTTGTATTTTGTTTCCCTGGACACTGTTGTCTTGGATACTGTCACACATCTGGTTTCCATGGATACTGTTGTCAACATGGATATCGCATGTTAGATTGCCATCAGCATCTTCTGGTTGAGTTGCTGCATCATGTGAAATCTTGCATGTAACGTCTCCATCTTTACTAGGATGGTGATATAGTGATGGTGATATTTTTATTTTGGGCTGTGAGGGGTCYTCAGGAAATTTGTTTTCCATAATCATGTTGACAGGTTGCACAGCTCTAGTACATGTGCTATCATTATCAGTATCTGATGTGGCATTGTCATTTTTGGAGTTGACACAAGAATACATAGATAAACAACCRTTGATGCAACCAAAATCTTCGGTCTGTGTTCCTGTGCAGAGCAGGGGACGTCCATAGATTGCTGTTCCATTGATAATGG